ACGCCCATCATTTCTTTATTTAATACGTTTTCCTGATCTGAAGAGATGAAATACATATACGCACCAAAGAACACTTGCATGTAAGGCGTTGTGTCTGTTTGCGATGAGCACCACCCGTCATCCCACGTTCCCATAACTTCGATACCAATCCTTCCGCGATGAGCAGAGTGACCTGTGTTCCTCTGGGAAGATGAAGTCACGTGTTTGTCTGGGATTCGACGCGTATTGGGTATCTTCAATCCCAGCTCCCTAAATCCACAGCCTGAATGATCAAATGCAAACATTATGTCAAGTTGACAGTGGTACATAAAGTAAACGGTACAGCAAGGTGTTTTTAAAAACATTGAGCAATCAAAAACATGGCACCGGTCTTTAAATCGAGGTCCGCGATGACACGACCTGTGTGATAACGATAACTTTGGTAATATATAAAGCTATACGAGACTTCTATGCCCTTATTGAAGGTGAGAAATGATGACGCGTGGTTTTGTGTGTGTGTGTGTGCTGATGCGTGATATGAGAATCATAAAGAAAATACGATTAATGACAAGCAATCGCTGACACATCATGTCGTATAACTCAGGTGGGAGTGATAATGACGACGATGATGATCGTGATTTTTTTTTAATAGTAGTGTGATATGAAAACGTTGCGTATAACTCAAGTAAAACTGCTTTTGATCTATAGTTAAGTTAGAAATTTACTTACCTGACTCGCAGCGGTTTCCATAGTAACCAAGTGCACAGAAGCAGCGGAAGGTCTGATTAGTGTTTGCGCATCGTCCGCCATTTAAGCACGGCGAAGGAGTACACTTGTCGAGTTTTTTAACTAAAGGCAAAACAAAGTAAAGAACCTAACAGCTGAGGAATGCGAAAAGGCAAACATTTTTTGTTTAGTCGTTATCGATGGCAGCTATCAGCCAATAAGCCGGACATTACATTTATTTTTTGAAGTAAAACGTCTATTTTTTGTCAATATTTTAAAAACGACTTTCACTCACCTGTCTCGCATTTGTCTCCAGTAAAACCAGCTAAGCATGTACAATTAAATTTATTGGTGAAACGTTCGCATTTTCCTCCATTCTGACATGGATTGCTTAGACAAGGGTCTGTATTGTTTTGTACAACTGGAGAGAGAGAGAGTAAACAAATTGTGGAGAAAAGTCATACTGTTCCTATAAAAAAATGATAAAAACCTGACATGCTCAAATGCAAGAAATCTCTTCTGTAAGTTCCCTTACTGGAAAAGTGTAATCCACCTAATTATCTGTTCTATAAAAAGTCAAGGAGAAAAGGAGAAAAAGTTATTCTGTGCCCAACAAATAGTGATAAAAACCTGACATGCTCAGATGCAAAAAAACGCTTCTGTAAGTTCCCCTTACCGGAAAAGAGTAACCTCACCCACGTATTTATTCTAAAAATCCAATTACCTTTGCAAACAGTTTCCTGTAAAGTTCCAAAAATGTTACTAAGAGAATCAAACGTTGCTTTGTAGATATTCTCATTATCAGGTTCAGACGCCATATCTGCGAGCTCACTGTACACAGCATTACCAACACCAATTGAGATGATATGAACACCTTCATCGCGTAGACTTTTCGATGGAACTGACACTTTGTCTTGCGATTTACCGTCTGTTAAAATGATGAGAATTTTGGGAATTCCCTCTCTGGCCATGCTGAAGATATCTGTTCTTATTCGAGTCAAGGCGGCGCCCATATAAGTGCCACCTGCGTCATAAGGAATGCTCTGTACAGCATTGACCAACTCTTCCGTGGCGGAATATTCAGTAAAATTGAAATGAACTCTAAAACTGTTTTGCGAGGAGAAGGTGGCAAGTCCAATTCTGGTGTCGTTCTGTCCAATAGCTACAGACTTGACAAATCCTGCGATGAAATCTTTGATTCGTTGATAGTTATTTTTGTCTCCCTGGTTAATGCTAGCAGAGCTATCCACGAGGAAAGCAACATCAGCCTTGGTTTGATTGCAACCTTAAAATACAAGCAAAATGAAAAGAAAGACGAACATAATCTTAAGTCATGATTTCAGCCTTGAGAGCAATCACGGATCTGTTACCGCCATTTGAAACCCTCATTTCTAGAGAGTATTTCTATTAGCACCGTAGAACCAAAATTTAAATAATCACATTGGTTATAAAAAGAAAATCAATATCACAAAGGAAATTCTTGAAATTTCAGTTTCGAAAGCCGCAATGCGTAATACAGTTCTGTTAATGGACGAGTGCCTCCAAGCTACCGTGCGCTTGAGTAATCTCTTCCCATCTAAAGAATAACCTTAGAATGAAAACGAATACATTACATATCACTTTTGTTTACTTACGCATGGTACAGTTATAACCATATCGGCTGTCACTACAAAGACAACTTGATCCTCCAGGATAGTTATGACAAGCTTGGTTTTCATTGCATTTTGTCGCATTGGTAGAACACTCATCGACATCTACGGAAAATGCAAAAATAAAAAAAAAATTTTAAAGAAGGCAACCAACAAACCGCCTGAAGCCCGAGAAAAGGGTGTAATATATATTTGCTATTCTCTAAGTCATAAGTGACTGACTGGTTGAGAAGGCGATGGGAGTTTTTTCTAGCACAACCACTAAGCAATTAAAAAAAATATAGCAATGTACGAATTCTTTTCAATACTCAGTTGAAACTGCACTGCTTAAGTAGTTGCACGTAGTGTCATCAAAGACAGGTGAATCTATTTGAAGGAACCTTTTACAAGTACTGTTAAATCCTGAATAAGAAATGTGTCAGGTACAAGTGAAAGAAAAGAAGCCATAAAACGTTTTTGTCTAACTCACCAATTGAGCAATTCTTTCCTGTCCAACTTGATGAACAATTACATTGAAAACCATCCCGTAAGCTGCTACAAGTTCCGTTATTCTCACACGGATTATTTCTGCAAACGTCTACAGCTGCAGTGTAATGGAACAAAAAAATGATGAAAATGCATACATAGGGAATAAAACGCCCATCTAATGCTGCGTTTTTACGCAGCACTTTACCTTGTATTGAAAAACAAAAAAAACATATTAAAAATATAGGCAAAACGTCTTCCATCGAACATGCCACCAGTAGCCATTCATACGTTTACTTGGCAGCGGAATGCCTTAATCGACAGCAGCCTGAGTGAAATGATATTAACGAGCAAAGGGGGCTGCGTCAGAGGGGGTAACTTGCATAATCAACTCATTTGACAAAACCAAAATATACTGAACTTATGCTAGCTTCCATATCAAAGGTTCCTTGAGACAAAGGTCTTTTAATTCGAAATATATCTATCTGCTTACCAGAACAAATCTTTTCACGAAGAGACTCCACAATTTTTGGTAGATCTGAAAATTTAGCTTCAAAAACGTGATCTTTATCAGGATCCGTAGCCATCTCGTTTAGCTCAGGCTTGTAAAAACAGCAGCCAACACCGACAGTAATAATTGTCACTCCCATATCTCGGAGAGCACGAGATGGACCAACTACACTGTCTTTAGACAATCCATCAGTCAAAACAACCACAATTTTAGGAACATCTTCTCTGGCAGCTCCTAAATTTTTTAATATCTCGTTGCGGATCACGTTTAAACCTTGCCCAGTACGTGTACCACCTGATGGAAAACCCATGCCTTGAATTGCGTTCTCTACTCCAACCAATGTTTTAAAGGTATCTAAGTGATGGATGATGCGATAGTGTTGCGAATACAGAACAGTGGCAACGTTGGTTTGGTCCGGACCAATTTCAAATTCTCGTACGAGAGCAATCAAAAAGTCTTTGGAACGTTGAAAGTTTCCCTTTCCTTGGAGTTCTATGCTACCAGATCCGTCGACCAAGAAGACCAAATTGAATCGTTGACTTGAACAAGCTAAAGCAAAAGAAAAGGTGACATAAATTTAAAGATTTATTTGAATGATACACTCAGCATCTTTTCCAAATTTATAGAAAAAGGCGTGGTAGCGGAAAAAAGTGACACTTTTTCAAACATACAGTTTGCCAGATCATTCATTGGAGAGAGGACACAAGAGGACGTAAACTTTATCCTTTCTTGGTTTAAAACATTCAACCAACCGTTCAATCACTCAGTCAGAAGACTGCGAGAAGGTCCTCCCACTTAATGATTGCACGATCTTTTTTTTTTTTTTTCGAAAATAGCATTGACAACGCCTGACCTCTTGCAAACTTTTTCCCTGACTTCAGCGCCTTATCTCCAACCCTCCCGCGGACAGGGAAACGCGCATCATGCATCATTCTTAATGGGGGCCTGGTTGCAAGTTAGTCAGTCAGTCCGTGAGTAATAAGGTACATAAATGAAAAACTGGAAATATTCTAAGCTATTTCCAACGCATGAGACATGCAAAAAGCACTTACCAATTTCGCACCGCTTTCCAGAAAATTCCTCTGTACAATTGCATGTAAAAGCCCCCAGGAGATTCCGGCAAGTCCCGCCGTTTTTGCAGGGTGCTGAATCACATTCGTTTACGATATCTGCAATGCATGTGTCGCAAAAATAAAATACTCAAATACATAAGAACGTCCTATTAAGTTAATGAGAAAACTTCCTAAATTATCAGTGAACTCTAGGTGTATGCTTTCAGAGAGGTAATGTTACGTTACCTCCATTGCTGCCTGATCGCTTTTGTAAGATACTGACAAGTTATCTATAGACAACGGCACTCCACCTCAGACCACTAAGGTTTAATGCTGATTTGCGTCCCTCTTAATTTGTTGTTTGAGTGTTTCTTTGATTCTTTCTAGCCACTCTACTTTCATATGATTCGTTACAATTAGACTTTTATGTTGTATCGTTTTGGAAGACATGTCATTGCTCTTGACCGATAGGCTTTCTGGCTACTAAGTTGACTTGATTTTTATCTGCAAGCTGTTAATCTCGAAGGTTAAAAACCAACGTAATACAGACCTTCCGTACAGTTCACACCTCCGATCCCTGCTGGACAAGTGCAATTGTGCACGTTGTAGCCGACAATTTGACATTTTCCTCCATTCTTGCAAGGGTTAGGCTCACACACAGAGGGGGCTGAAAAAAAAAGTGTTTTTTTGTTGATTCAAGTATCAGCGGTTTCAACTCAACATGTTTTATGACTGCAAAAAAATGAAAGAACCCCGAACGACGATTGGTGTTCATAGAGTTTACCAAAACTTAAATACCCAAATATAAGGGCCAGCGTCGTGATAGATAGAAACGCTTTTCGCGGAAATGTTGCATTTAACCAGGCTGTTCTTTCTTAAATTAAATTTAAAGAGAGTCAAAACTTTATTTTAAAATATGGATTTTATCTTGTTTTGAGGCTTTGTGAAGCTGAGAGTGGGCTTTTAAATGAAAGGACATGAGTCACTTACAGAGTCCATTATTCTCCTTAACCTGAAGTGAATGCCATCAATAAGAAAGGATATCCATGTGGTCTTTCATCTACAAAGTTCAGGTTATCAAGCAAGTATAATATCTATATTTTTCCTTTTACTCACGCGGAATACAGCGAAACCCTCCATCTTGTCCATAATTATTTTTACATTCGTGCGTAGGCGGACAGTCTGAGCTGGTGCATGGTTTCCAAGCTGACGATAAGAAGGAGAGAGAGACTGTCTTTTCGTATAATTTTGAGAAGCCTGTCTCAGAAAAACTTCCCTGTAACATACATGATCATGTTTCAACTCTTATGATTTAGTGAACACTTTTTTGTTTGGCAAGTTTTCTTTCTTGCAGTATGATCTATGATCCTCTTTATTGATGTTTACCCGTAATTCTTTAAGTAACCAATTAAAAATTTGGTGGCCGCAATTAAACTTACAAAGCGTGCAGAAGAAAGGTGTAGGAGAACAATTTCCTAATCCTGCCATGGGAACGCATTTTTGGCGACTGAAGGCAACAACAAGTTCTAACACAAAGCATAGGTTCACACATCCTCATTAATGCGTCTTTAAACTTCCTCAACCTTAACTTTGTTCCTCATCACGGCCAAAATAATAATTAGTTTGTCCCTAGAAATCAACGAATTTTTTTTAATATTAACTATCACTGTTCCCCTCTGTTCAAGAGTTGCCTCTTTAGCACTCTCATTTTGCAAAATCTTATTTGAAGGTTTAATTACAATAACCACTAATTTACATGACCCCCTCCTATTCCCCTCAACAATCAAAACAAGTGAAGGATTACCCTTGCCACGTGTCATAAGTACCTTTGCAAACCGCGTCTCTTGTTCTACTAACGAAATGCTTCAAATTTGAAACGTCCGTCGCCAAAATGTGGTCCGTAGATGGCTTTGACACCAACAAGTTCAACTCTGCTAGATTATAATTGTTATCCAAGGGTACAGCTACAACAGTAACACCTCTTTGTTTCAATTCTGCCGCATATGGCGCTTCATCATCATTTGATTTCCCCATTATCATCACAACTACGACTGCTGGTTTTGAGTGGTTATAAATTTCTTCAATCACTTGAGCTTTCTGTAATGCTACACCCAAGTTCTTCATGTAACCCATGGAATAATTCGCGCTGCGTAAAGTTTCAGAAAATTCGGTTAAGTTCGATGCTTGCCCAGGTCTGATGACAATATCAGCATCAGTTGCATAGGAAATGACTGCAACGTCTACGATAGAAATGGAAGATGCCACCGAGATGATTAACTCGATTTGATGCTTTATGTTGTCTTGTCCTACATTTTTTCCTCTGTCCAAAAGAAACAGTACTGTGGAGCCATTGTTGCTGCAATCTGAACAGCAAAATTCAATCAGAAAGTTAATTATTCTTTAAGGTATGGTTATAGTATTTCAGTTGGTCATTGTGTACGTCTGCATATTTTAATGTGTTTCTTTTTCTGTATACGTCGTTATGTCTACTTCTTGGTCAATGAAATTATCAGCGTCTCAGCAGACCAATAGATCATTTTTGTGTCGACTAGCTAGATTCAGAAATCTAGTCTTCTGTCCAGTTTCTATTTTTCTCATGTTTTATTTGTTTGTTTCATTTTTTAAATTTTTTTTTTTTCTGTTTGTTTGGCTGTTTACAAAATAATTCATTATGTTTTCACTCTCAGGTAGGTTGTTTCTGCAATAAAGATAGTCCGCGTAGACCACACAGGTGAATAGTGCTTTTCGCACGTGCTGATTGGCTGGTCAGTAAGTGATTAGGAATTACTATTCACCTACGAAGACACAAAATCGCGCGTCATCAATTCAATTTCCGACCAATTTTTGCAGGAATAAACCAAGTTATATTTTATTGTGTGGTTTATGCTAAAGTAATTATTCTCCTAAGTGTTGGTGAAAGTGGTGGATATTTGGCCCGGTAATTCTCCACTACTATTGACCTCCTCTTAGGTGAACAATCATAATTATAAAGTTCCTTGAAATCACTCACCTCTGGTGCAATTCTCACCGTACAGAGAACTATTAGCGCATGTACATTCAAACCCACCAAAGGTCTCAGTGCAACGTTTTCCAAAAGTGCAGTTGGAACTTACGTTTGAGCATTCTTTTACATCTGATAGCATAAAATTGAAAAAAAAGTCTCACATTCTAGTGGTGTAAAAAGAGACAATTTGGTAACGGAAACAACAATACATTTGGATCAAAAGCCATTGTCACAACTCCTAGGGGCGTATGAAACATCTGAATTAACCGTTTGTTTTCCTAAGGGACCAAGTGCGAGATATTTTTCAATAGTGCAACGAAGTTTGATACTGTTGTTATTTGATATGCACCAGTAAAAGCAAAAGTATAATGGTATCAAACAGATCTGTGGCGTCATTTTATGGAAGCATGCTTGCACATCACTTTAATCGTCCTACCTTCAGAACATTCTGCTCCTTGGAAACCTTGCGCGCACGTACAATTCAAACCATTATTTTGGCAAACACCACCAAACCTACAGGGATTATCCGCACATTTATCCAAATCTGCGGATGAAATAACAGAGGAAAATGGTCATAGGAAGCCCCAATAATCTCATATTAAAACAAACATTATGAAAAAGATAAATACCCTGACAGATCTTTCCTCTAAGTCTGATAAAAGTTTCCGAAAGTGAGTTAAATTCAGTTTTGAAAACCCGATTCGTGGCATTAACAGCTATCTGCTCGAGCTGGGAAACATCATAGTTTGAACCAATTCCAACAACATAAGGGACCACGTTAATGTTCTTGAGTAGCGCGGCTGGCTGAGTGACGTCATCCGTGGAAACACCATCTGTAACTACGACCAGGATTTTGGAAACATTGCTTGATCGTACCGAGTTTGGGCCAAACAAATCTTCTGCAGCCTTTGTTAAGGCTTTTCCAGTATATGTGCCGCCAGCAGGATACGTTATGTTATCAATCGCCTGTTCAACGTCTGACTGAGTTGTGTAACTGTCCAGTTTAAACACTGCTGTGGCATTTGTGGAGAAAACGATAACTCCAACACGTGTTAAACCACTTGACACATTGAATGTTCGTATAAAGGTTTTTATAGAATCTTTAATAATCTGAAAGTTGTCCTTTCCGTAGAACTGCACGCTAGCAGAGCCATCAATTAGAATCCCCAGATCAACTTTGTTGACCTTGCAATCTGAAAATCAAAGTAATACTCATTATCACAAACTAATTACTGGCGCTAGCTTCATGTTTCTATTCGTGAAAATCCTCAAACATTAGGCGACGTATGCAGGATTTTTTTTAGGTTAATGCACATAGCTTAAATAAAAATGTGTGCAATTTTTTTTTCATTTACATATTCCTAAATTATCCAACATTTTGGAAAGCGTAAGGAGCCCGAATATATTTACCTAAATGACAGTTCTTGCCACTGTTTCCATGGTTACAATCACATCGATAATCGCCATTTCTGTTGATACATTTCCCACCGTTCTGACAGGGAATGTTGAAACACTCGTCTACATCTGAGAGAAAAACACACAGAATAAAATTTGTGGAAATTATGTATGTTGCGGTCTCTAATACATCGGTCTCAAAAGAAAACATATGATCCCTAGGACACCAGATGAGCCCTTGTAAGGAAAATGGATGGACATGTGGTTATCACTTACCATCTTCACAATGATTTCCTGTATATTTCTCTGTACAAATACACTTGTATGACCATTTTATTAAGTTCTCCACGCATTTACCACCGTTTTGACAAGCCATTGGGTGACAAGGGCTGGTGGCTGCAACAACAAAACGCCATTTTAGATATCAATTCTGCTTCCAGCGAACTTATTATTATCATAATTATTATCATTATTTTATACTGCCTACATTTTTATAGCAGAAGGTTTGGGTCTTACAAATAAAGACTTTGCAGCAGAATTGATCAATCAGTTCCCGCGAACCAGACTGAAAAACAGCTCCTCACTTAACTCAGGTGATGATCTCTTCTCGTTTGCTTATATACCTATCGCTTTCACGGACAACAGTTCTTTTAAAGATTATTGGCATCGGAAGATCAGACTATACGATCGACTGTTGATCTTTTTGAGGGATAATAGGAGTCTTTATGCTAACCCTATGTAATTTCGTTGTCGATGATACACCATAAGAATAAAATTTCTTTCGAAGCCGAAATTAATAAATATTTAACCACGCTTAGTTTTTATCTTTCTACTGACATCATTGACAACCATATGGAAAGCTATCTATCATATGGAAAAGCAAACTTTTTCAAAATATTTTTGTTACTTCTTCAAAAAATATCCAGTAATGTTTCAAAGTTGCGAGTACCTTTGCAATTGTCCCAAAGCTTGTCTTTGTCGTAATTGTCGGTAGTTGCGCACCATGGTTGGTTGTGATTGTTTTTAATGCAAGAATATTTCATTTGGCCTTCATAGATGAAAGGAAACACACAGCATTTGCCTCTTGTCGTCTTGTGCGTGCATCCTGCATTGACAAATAAAAGTAATACCACGATCATTTTAGGTCATACTTGAGATGATTCTAGTTTATTACAGAGAACGTCAAGCATTCTGGGTCAGCTTTAGCTGTAGAAATATGTCTGTTCTGAAAACAGCACAGCACTTGCCACTCCAGTAATTTTTTGTTTCATAAAGAGATTATACCCGATTATGCCGTCGGACTCGCTTTGTGGATAAACAATTCTCACCAGTCATCTCTTCTAAATCAATCTTTAATAAATGAAAAATATGGCTTGACTACTTAACTTAATTTAAACTTTATTTTGTCTTGATGAAATAATGGCCGGAAGGAGAACTACCACCGAAGTAACCACTGAGGGCTTCACGCTTAGTAAGAAATATTTTTATGCTCTGGATTAAAAATTGATTATATTTTATTATTTTCACCTTCAGTAACTTTCTCTCCATCAACTGTGGTTGTAACGCAGCCAGTCATTTCTGTCCTGACACAGTAACCATCATTCGTACCAAATGTGGCATACTTGGGCTGCACACTGACTGACTGAACCAGTCGGGGAACTGAGAATTTCCTCGGACGTACACTGTTCCCTCTCAGGTCCTCGTTGGTTTGTTTGAACAGCTAGAAAGGAAAGATGTTTTTTTCTGTTGATGTGGTCGAAGCGAGAGAACTGATATAATATGAGATTGCAAATCACTTACGGCATGAAAAGCGAGATTGCTAATGGCCTAGTGAGCGCTTTGACGAAGGTGAGGAGGTGGGAGGGGTAGGGGAAAATACATTAAACAAGGTCATTTTCGCCCCTCCCTAGGGTCCAACTACTCACTAGACATTCTTGTTGATATTGAGTTAATTCCTTCAAATCCGATCCGTTGAGGCCGTAGCGAAGGCAAAACTTGTATGGCCATTCGCTTGCATCTTTTGCTCCTTGCACTATGACTTTGGAAATATTGAATGGCTGCCCTGTAAGAAAAAATCACTATCAATACATTTTCGTCGACAAATTTTTAGCGACCACTACTTTTGAGTAATAAGTATTCACATGCGCATGTATTCCCTCGATTGCCAAAACGTGACACATAAACAGTGAGACTGGGTTGCCTAACGGGTATAAATGTACATAATTGCCGGAATCAAGCACAGTTAAGCACAGATTATGTTAATACATAACAAACATCGACCAAAGAGGCCGTTAAATTACAACGTTTTCGCCATCGAGTATAGATGAAGAAATTAAAATACTAACCGAGATCCATTTGAAAGAAATGATGATGAAACGGCAATGCAACGGATTGATTAGGACACCAAGCCACAGGTTCGTCGATCAATGGAGGACAAGAGAATCCTGAGCGAACATTTGAATGATTGCACATGATGAGGTTACCTGCCTCCCTTAAAACTGAAACTTTGGTTGCTGTGATACAAAGGATGAAATGAAATATTCACTTTTAGAAAAATTTTTTATACCGATTGTGTGGCAAAATGGAACATTGATAAGTCATACAGAAAATTTGGTGATCTGCTAAAATTTTTTTAAAATATTAATAGTTAGCTTGGTTTTTTATATCCTTTAACATTTTTTTAACATCGTTTCTACTTTCATATATAAAGTCAAACAAAGAAACAGTAAACCAAGAACGTAAATCAAACTCAATTCACAGATTTAAAGAATCTTGTCCACGCCAATTCATGGAATTTTTCCCGGTGCCAAAGAATTTTTTAAAGGCAAAAGGCATTTCAATTAGTTTAGAAGATCAAATATTCAGATTGTGACGTAGCTACGTACTTTTAAACATTTAACACAAAAATCTGAGATGATATAAATTATGCCATACATGTGTTGTATTTTCGAAACACGTCTACTCTCAGGCACAACCCATCACCCTTGAATAGTCTCCAAGGACTAAAACTCAAATATTGGGCTTCTAGTGACCCAGGACTCGGTGTGACTTCTGTTTTAGCGTTTGAACTGGCAGTGGAGAGGCTAATCTATAAAGGAAATGGTAACATCAATGCCAAAGCAGTATCAATTTTGCCAAAACTTGTAATTCTTAAGTTGGTCACCGAACTCGTTAGTTTGTTGTTTGTTGGCGATCAATCGATTGATAACTAATAAATGATTAAATAACTTATAATCTGTCTAGCTAACTGATGGGTTACGTTAGATGCACTACCTTCATCATTAAATGCATTTCTTACCAGACAAATAGATTCGTTTCGAATGATCTCTTGTTCTTGACCGCCATTAACAATGGAACCAAAGCAGTAGTTGTCAGGATAGTCCACAGAATCTTTTTTACCTTGTAAGGTCACTTTATTCAAATAAGTCTCTCGCCCTTGAAAACAATGTTTCAGCATAAGAGAAAATTAAGATCTCTAACATATACTATAACCTACGCTATTAAGACTGTCCAAATCGTTTTAACTCGGCTATTTACAGAGGGCGTCTGTAGCCTAATTGCTTAACTCGTCTCAACCGAATCCAGTGAGCATCAATTTAGAGGACTTGAGTCAAGGACCACCGGCGTGCCTGGGAGAATGAAATCATCCGAGTCTTCCTAAGAAATCGAACTTACGGTTTTTGCATTTTCCACGGCTATACTCTACCCCAAGTCGAACTCAGTAGCGAGCTCGGTATTACCCTTAAAAATCTACATTTATTTTAAGAAACTTACCCAGATCAACCTTAAGTTTCCGGACTGGGTCGTCTTCCTTTGGACACCAAGAGTAGTCGCCATTTAAAAGAGGAACTCGCCAGGACGAGTTGTAGGATGATCCTTGGATTGTTGAGCTCGATAAATGAATAAGGTCATCTTTGAGTAGGTCACCACACTTAGCTAGCCAAAGAGAAGCAAGATCAGCGTTATTGAAATTGGCTGAAACTTATCCTTGGTAATGTTTGATCAAAGCGACAACGTTTGCGTTGCTTCAAAAGCTAGGTGGCTCTGCATCTACAGAATAGGTGAACTCTAATTTGTTAATTGTTAATCAGGAAATAGAAAGTGGAGGTCACCAAAGCTTGTTTTTAGTTGCAGGCATAGAAATCCAAATTGAACATTGTTTTAACGGCTAATGCGTTGCTTTTCCGGCATGTTAACATATTATATCAAATATTGATCATCCCTTGACAAGGAAAAATTGCCTTTTCCTCAAAACCCTATCCATCAATTACAGAATACACGTTGAAAAATATGAACACCCTTTGGAGCCATGTAATAAAGCAGATGAGTGATTAGGGTGAAGACCTCGAATTCAGTTTTTATGATCTCACCTCCCACGAGGTACACTTCGTCTTCATTTCCTGGATCGCAACCTTCCAAATCCGTAAAATCGATGAGGTGTGCATCTGGACCAGAGTGGCAAGCTTTTAAGTTGTGCATAACGAACAATTTATAGCTTTTCTTAGCAGTCTCTAAAGCACATTTCCTGACCGCATTTCCTCTGGTCTCAAAATCGCCATCAAGGTATGTTGCATTGTCTGACTCTAGGGATGGAATGGTCTGAGAGGCGTTCTTGAAGCAACCCAGTAGCAGATGTTCCACAGATATACCTTTGGAAAAGTAAAAAAGAAAATAGACATTAGAATTGAATATGAAAAAAAATAATAAGTTCCTTAGATAAGGCGATGAATGGTATATTTACGCAATGATGTTAGAAAAATCTCAGCATCGTTAGTGGTCCCTGACAATTTTCGGACTCCTGCTAAATTCTACACCCAAGTGAAGCGAGGCGCTGAGAAAGTGCCCAGGCCTCCGTGTCCCCACCTTGCTTAGGAATACAACCGTAAACGCTGCGAAAAACTCTGGCTAGGGTTTGAAACGGATCTCTTAATAATCTCAAAACAGAAAGTAATGAAAAAGTCTCCTAGTTTTACTTACTCATCTCACAGGTGTCTCCTTGAAATTCTGGTGGACAAGTGCATTTGTAACCACCAGTAAAGCTAGTACAATTCCCATTGTTACTACATGGAGAGCTGACACATTTGTCGACAACTGTGGAATAAATTTAAGTACCACAGTCATCTCAAATCACACTTAAAACATGTGAGAAGGATTTTCCTTTGGTAATCTTTGATCTTACAACAGGAACTTGACAAATAATGAAACTCGGATCCGACCAATGTGTTCACACCCTTTATGAAGAAGCGGCACTATAAACAGTGTTAATTTTTTTTTTTGATAATTTAAAATTGATATCAATATTTCATATAAATGTGACGTCATATCTAAACAGTCACGAGATTAGCACAAATAAAGACGTTTTACGATCATGTACCACTACATCTGTAATATTTTGGGGCTTACAAAAAAAGCTAAGGACAAAAATACAAATGGATAAAATGGTTCCTTAAAAAAAAAAAACTTGCCTTCACATATTCTCCTAGCCAAAGTGAGGTTAAAATTCTCTGATAGCTCCCTCGTATTTGTAGCCTGCAACAAGTGGTGTTCTTTGGGATTTGAAGCGATCTCGCTTAATTGACCCAGAGACACCTGGCTGCCAATTGCCACAGAAAACAAAGTTACGTTGGAGTTTTTTAAGTTAATTGTTGGAATAGCGATGTCGTCATCAGACTTCTGGGAAGTGATAACGACAACGATAGTAGCAACATCCATTCGCGAGTAATTGCCATATAGCCAATCTTTGACTGATTCCAGTAATTTACCCAAAGACACTTGCGAACTGTTTGGAAAATGCGGCGCTGTGGCATTTTTCAGGTCTTCTTTCGTTTTATAGACCCTCGTCTCATTTCCAGCCAGTGTGATGATCCATGTTTTATTGGTTGCCAAGTCAAAGTTGCTCGATAAATTAAAGATAAAGCTGAAGATATTTTGGAAGTTCGCCTCGCTCAGCGTGTAGGATCCTTCCACAGAAAATACGACATTCATTTCTGTGGAACAAATGGCTGAAAAAAGATAAATAAATAAATAAAAGAGGATGAGAGGAAAAGTCCCGAATGAATTGAATGCCTTATCGATTCGGGCGTACGGATTTTTAAACTAAGCAAGAACAAGTCGTCTCCCTAACCTCCTCTCACCTCTCCCCACTCCTCCCCCCTCCAACTCTTTATTAAGTGACGAAGGGTGATATTGATGATTCAAATTGAGGAGCATGAGCAAAATGAAGAGGGGTTGCCGCGAATTAAAACGACCAGTGTCCTTCTTTTAAAATAAACCTACGACTTTAAATCTATTATAATCATGTGCTCTTCAAAGTTGAATATATCTCAATTTATGTTGGAAACCACCAGGTTGTTAAAGTGACTTCGAAAACCACAGAGTATTTACGTCACAGTTGTTATATTCAGATAGTTGTTATTCAGATATGACGGCACTCTTCCAGCTCTGCTGATTACAATCTTGTTCGAAGGGTCTGTCGATGAAGCGAGACGCTGAAAACAAGATTTTGTCGATGAAAGCGGCAGCACCTCTCTCAAATAATGGATAGGACACAGACTTTAAAACTTCTCATTAAATCACCGTGGAACGTGAGCAGGTTTTTTTTTATATATTCCGGCCCCCTTAGTTTCCTCTGCACGTAGCTTTTACGCCACTCCCGATGAAAAGCCATTCGATAAGTTTTAGTTCTGGTTCAGTTGATTAAAGTAGTTAGTTATTCGTATTGCAATGAAAAACGCTTTACGCCCGTTTCGCTAATCGTCGAGTTCGCTATATGTTCGTTACTAACATGCCGAATTCGCCGCCTCTGTTAATTCACAGGTTTAATTTCTCTTTTAACCATAAACCACGAGCAATATCTGTAATTTATACTCCCAACTTCGTGACTGCCGTCTTTAGGAGTCAGTTAAACTGATCATATGCAAATTACCTTCCAGTTTGCTTTTAACCGCCTCGTTGATTTTTGTGATTGTTGCGAGGTTACGTTTCACAAGTAAACATGATTGTAGGGTGGAACGTATTGATGAAGTCAACAAAATTGTAAGCTTCTTTCATAGAAATGTCCCATAGTAAAAAGATGTCATCAAGAAATCTAGATTAGAGGGACTAGCCATTAACAGTCGTTTTTCTAGGTCTCACTCCATTGTGAGCGATGCACGTGCTCGACAAGTAGCGAAACTTAACTTTCAGTTAGTTAACCTTGAAGTTCTGTAACGTCACATTTATCCGGAAATTAGTCAAATTTTTTTGGCTGTGCGTAGTACTAATTCAAATCAAGTTTAAAGTGAAAATAACTGGGTTATTACGTGTTTTGATTTAAGAATAGTTTGTATTTTTGTCCACATTACATGTACTTGCCACTTACTTCTCTTGTTCTTATCGAGATTTTCAGCTGGCAAATAAACGTTTCCTTTACAATTTATGTTGTGAAAAGAGTTCAGAGAGCGAGAAGTTTTCGATGGCATGTTATTTAATCACTGAAAAGTGAATTCCGTGACATGATTCACTATCAATTTATTCTAGTCCTATCAACATGAACAAATATCCTTGAACAATCATCTTGTATTGTACTGCCGCAGTGTTGATCCTACTAACCACTACCAAAAAAAAAAAAAAAAAAAGCATACTTGTTTATGCCTTAGAAAAAATCGTACAAAATCTTCCGGGCAATGTTCCGGTTATGAATACCTTTTCAAGTCTGTATTCTGTTAGGGGACGCTAAATTCTGTTTGTGTTTGCATACTTTACATGCAGATCAGCAGGCTCTCGTAACAAAGCAATTTAATCACACCGAAGACATCGCAAGCGAAAACCATGAGAGTATCTAAATAATTTCACACGAAGTGCTAACCACAGAAGTCATTTTAAACAACATAAACTTACCTTCGCTACTTATTGACCTGATCCATAGGAACAATAACAAGTTAAAAGACAATAACAATAATGATATCCTTGCTTTGTTTTTGAGTGCCATTTTTCTCAGGTTGGGTTAAGAGCGGCGCAAAGATTTCACTTTGCTCTCTGGCTTGTAAGTTCTATCGCAAGTGTAAAAAAACTCACAACTATCCATAAATCTGCATATTCACGTATTTTTTATCACTCAATATATCAATCCAAGTGTCGTCATGAAACAAACAAAAGCAAACGGAAACTGCAGGCTACAAAGACATCGATATTAGACCAGAAGGTAATGACAAATCTCGCACTTAAGATGAATATTCTTGGGCTATGTAACTCCGTGGAAATCCTAAACTTTTATCAATTATAATTCTGATAAATTCTGAGCGATAATTACGGGAAGATCATAAAATGGTTGCCTGTGACTCACAACAAATAATTGTTTTTCCGGTTGACTGAAAGATATATTTATGATCTGTGGGTCGTTTACGGTCCGTTTGGAAAGAACAGGGGTGAAACTGCGATATGTTTTGTACTTTTTCAAGTTTGTTATTTGTAATCTTAGTAAATTTCCTCCGTCCTTAAGCTTCCTCGTTCCCTTCTGACTCACTCTTTTGTCTTTGACATTTGTCCGTCCTCGCAATTTACTATTTTAAGTTGTTCATACAACAATAACTGTCGTGACGTAGATTGGGAGAGGTTCAATGTCCTCGCTCACCAGGTCACAAGAACAGGAAAATAACCAATTCCACGAAACAAAGCAATGAAACAAAAATGGCTTCTTCAAAAACTTCCATTAATTATCAAAAATTTAACTTAAAATGTTCTTGAACTACTACAGGTTGCGCCTTTTTATTGCTCTGTTACGTTATTTACTCCGGGCGTTGATGATTAATCCGGACTCTTATTCCCATGCTACGCGCGGGAGAGACAAGAGAGAGATCCTTGGGACCAGGCTGTGTACTTATTGAACAGGTCCGTAGATCAAGAGATTGACATGCACGGCATGTAATGTGTCATATAATGTTGATAACATTGGATTATGAGGCGAAGGCCGAGAGTCTCTCGAGGAATTGTTTAATGATTAAACATTGACACAAGAATTTTCGTGATGTTAGTTTATTCATGATTTTTTCTTAATTTACATATATGATATAAAATTTGTTTAAAATAGAATAGGTTTAGTAATTGTATACTACCTTAAAACCAGTTTTCCAGGGTCTCGCTGTTGCGCTGTTTTCACCCAACTAACGATAACAAAATTGATTTTTACGGTCTAGAACAAACGAGACGAGATCTTAATAATCGGAGCCAAGTCGTAACAATCACAACCAAATTAGCTTAAATTTATACTTATTCAATCATACGTCTACAATGCTATCGAACAAGGACTTTGTATAACGTATCTATGATTTTAAATCAATCAAATCTTACAGAAAGATCGTTTGGTTTGATACTCTAAATTAGGCACCGCAAATAGGTATTACCCCTCTTTACGGTGGCCAATTTACCTCATCGATTCTGTTCATAAAACCAAACTATCTTGTAATTTCCTCACTGAAGCAGCATCACAGTTTATCTACAAACATCAGTTTTCGTTACACATCTGTAAATAATTCTGCTAGCTGTCCAAAAACAAAGACTCTCATATCAGTCTAACGTTCTGGGGCACGCCTTGCAAAAGACTCCCTTACGTGGACGATGCTATTTGGGGAAACCTCCAAAAAGAAAAAACTCCGCTTTTTAAACCACACAACAATCGTATTTCATGCCTCGGTTACAAACAGGTTTTCTGTACCAATCGAGTTATCAATAACGTGAGCCTCAACTGTTTATAGGAATCTTAAACTATGCAACAAGAACTGCATGACAAATGCTGGGGTAGTGCAGTTTAAGACAGTCTATGGTACGATAAATAACTTGTGGAAATTTAAAGGAATGGAAAAACTTGACTCTTCTTCCTCTGGATTTCTTCCAACGTTGTCGTTCGGCGATCAAAGCTAAAAATCTGATTCAGAAAAACATGAGTTAGAAAACGGTTTTTTTTTCAAGGAGGCAGCAATGTGGAATGTATGATCTTTATGTCGCTTTTTTTGCCTCAAAAAGATGCATATCGCTATATGCAGCAAAAGTTTACTTGTTACCTTGTTTTCGTAAGAGAAAATTCCATCTTCGGCCGTCTGTTGCGGAGAAAATGTAAGTGTCCTCTTCTTCTGATCCTCTGATGGCTCCTCAGGGAAGAAAATATTGTCGTAAAAATCCTCATAACCTTCGTTATCGCTGCCATTGTCTTCGTTATCGTCGTAGTCATCATCTTCTTCCTCTGACAACTCCCGATATCGCGGTAACTCAAAAATCCCTTGTTTTCTTCGTTTCTCTTCGAGTTTGCTCTCTGGGTAAACACTTTCATAAAACGCGTTTTCACTGTGAACCTCCCCCGGTACCACTTCCTTTCCGTTCACCTCCACACTCAGCGTTTGTACTTCAAAAGCTGAAGGTAGATTCTCGTAAATATGTTCGTATTCTTCGTCATCTAGACTCTGATAATGCCGCTCAATTCCTTCCTCTTCTTCCTCGTCTCTAACGTAAGACTCGTACGCTTCGTTCCAGATTCCAATGCTATTCAAGGCTTTGTCAGGGCCCATCTCGATTGCCACAGTCTGCACCTCATACATGGGCAGATCAGAGGGGATTGTTTGGTAGATTCCTTCTTCTTCTTCCATTGTTGAATAACCTTTCATTTGTCGTGAAGATCTCTTCCTGTAGAAAAAGAAAATTAAAAAATGAACAATCCATAGAAATGATAGCCAATTTCTTAAAAACACTCCGCGAGGAGCTACTTGGCATGAGCTTACACGAATACAAAAAACCGCATAAAACTAAAATGATAGACCAACAAGGATCTAGTCCTCGAAACATCATCTTTTCAAAATTCGGTGCCGAGGTCTACATACCTTTACTTATCTCTAACTGACATCAACCTTGTTGCGTCACTTTCCGGACGCAACACTAAAACAACGACTCAGTGCATGACCCTTTTTTCGTGTAATATGATATACTCGAAAACGTCACGAACTTATATTTATTTTACCTATCAGCAAAATTTGCCGTCGCAAAATGAGACGCAAATCGTTTTCACTTACCGAAGATAACGTATAAGGAATAACAATGAGCCGCCCAAAAGGAGTGCACCAAAAACTGCTGGAATTACTAAAAATACAAGACAAAATAATTAATTAGAAAACGGAGAAAATAGATAAATGAAAATTGATTTCGAAGATTTAAGAAGATTTTGTGCTACTGTGCTTTTCTACTGCGCTGGAAAGTTTGAGCCATCCTCTGAACCAATCAGATTCAGGACTAAAACCATTTGAGACTTGCATTGATCATCCTCGTTTTCACGCGCGTCAAAGAAATTAGCTTACTGAACTTTGAGTTCCCATTATTCCTAACGTTACTTGACCTTTATTCTGATTGGACGTTAAAATTAATTTGGTTTGGTTTCACGAAACTCGACACGAAACTCTCTCTAATTAACATTATTTCCGAATTCGTTGTTGCAAATAATTAAAAAAACATGTATATTTGCGCAAGAATTCATGACTTGAAAAAAGAGGAACAACTCAAAGCTTTACTTCGGAGACCAAAAACCATAACCTACCAGCTATGATTCGATCAAACCCTGCGCTTTCCTCTGGCGTTTCGTTATTCACTCTCCGAAGCAGTATACCCGAAGAGGGGAAGTCCTCTGCAATGAGAAGACATTAATACCACCTGACTAATAAGTCTCCTTCAGGGCAATTAAACATTTCATGAAAAATGTCTTAAAAGAATTTGATAATATATCATTATAGCACGCTCGCGCTGAAAAGAAATTAATCCATTCTCATTATCTGTTTACCGCATTAGTTACCAGGTTCAACTCGGCAGCTAAGTTATTCACAATTAATACCCCAATACCTGCATGGAGAATTTCATTTTCTACTGAGGGAAAGTAAGGACTTCTCATACGTTTTTACATAGTGTAATTACCTGAGTCGCAGCCATATAAAGCGATGCGCACACAAGCAGACGAACCAGTGAAACTGACAGGATGAATTCGGATGTAATGAGCTCTCGTTCCTTCAAGACTTAGATTTTTACCTTGAATGTCATCATTTGCGTGAAACTATAATGATAGACAAGAGGAACGCGTTAGGTGTCTTCATTATGCATTAGAGACCACTTTCATAAATACATGTGTATCAGTTATTTCAACGTCCTAAATAACGACTTGCCGTTTTAAATTATCCTGTGTGAGTGCAAATTCTGCTCTCTGTTTGACTCATGTACATACTTTGTGTTTAAGAATTCTATAAATTGGTCTGCTCGATTCCTGGACTGTCTGTTGGTGGATTGGTTTGTGGTGTTCATTTGCACACCTGAACTCACTGAACTGACCCATCTTACGGGAAATTTGATGAAAGTTCTCACTCTTAGGCGAAAATTAGCAACGAAATCTCCGCTCTTGCGAACCATTGCCGAGTAGATCTCTAACAGAAATTTAACTTACAATTCTAGTTACTCCTTGTTCAGTGTAGTTGACGAACGATCCAGGTTGAGAATCGTTACTCATAGACACATAATAACTTTCGACCCAAGAGTTCGTTGAATCATCGGTGACACCTTCGGTCTCAATTACGGATACGTTTGTTAGGTACCCTTAAACACAGAGAAACGGTGACAACAGTTATTCATTTGCTAAAATGACAAAGCAGAAACTACTGATGTGAAAGTAAATAGATGGTACTCGTGAGTAAAAAAACAAATAATTTAGAAGATAATAAATAACAAACAGAAGTATACCAACACGAATATACCAATGAATAAACACTTGATTCTTTGTAAAAAATAAAGGTAAGAGCGAGAAAACTGGCATAGGAAGTACCACTTAATTAGCACCATTGCAATAAAACAGACAGAGAAGCACATACAAAGAAAAAAAAAAAACAAACACTTTAAGTAACCCAGAAATCGAAGACTCGTTTTCACAATGGCTGAGAAGGGAGGAGAGGAAATAAAGTGACAAGTCTAGCAACTTAATTTCCCTTACCAAAGAACACCTGTAAATAAGGTGCTGTGTCTACAACGGATGCGCACCAACCATCTTTCCATGTACCCATAGTTTCGACACCAATCCTCCCTCGGTATGCTGCTCGTCCTTCTTCTTTTTGGGAAGACGCTGTGATGTCATCATCTGGTATTCTTCGTTCATTTGGAACTTTTAGACCCAGCTCCCTGAATCCGCAACCTAAAGTAAAAAATGCGATTACAGCGTTTAAACTGGAGAAAGAAATCAGTCAATCAAGACTTGTCCAGAATATAATTCGTGTAAGGGTTCAGAAAAAACTAAACTCTCCGTACAGTGTCTAGTCCTTTACGAGCGAATTAAACATTTACGGAAAATGAAAATGACCAAAAAAACAAAATAGTGGAAACAGAGTTTTTTTTGCAGCTAAAGCAAATATTTCAATTCTAGCGAGAACAGAATGTCAATGATTGATTTCGTCCTATTAGATTAAGAGTCTCGTTCGCTAAGACCACCACGTTTCCGAGAGATCTTTGAAGGGATACACCTTCTTATTCAATTTCACGTCTACTTTCGGGGTAACAAGTGGTTAATTCCACATACCAAACTGACATTCCTGTCCATAGTATCCACGTGAGCATTCACAGCGGTAACTTCTCCCTGTGTTAATGCAAGTTCCCTCATTGATACACGGTGAAGAGTTACAAGTGCCATGATCTTCAACTAATAAACCCAAGAAAAAATGATTCATTTCATTTCATCTACCAAAGCAACAGTTACAAACAAATTTACAAAATTTCGTTAAGAACCACTTCCTAAATAAATTTTGACCCGGTATTGAACATGGAAACAGTTTTTTTTTCCACTCCACAAAAGGCCCCTCGTGTCCAGAAAACAAACAACTTTTAGGCAGGAAGTCCTTGGAGGTAGTTACTCGATGAAGTGGTCTTGTCAATGAGTAAATCTCTAGCTAAAATGAATTAGAAAGGAGACTTAGCTAGAAAACTTGTAGAGGATTTAGGTGAAATTATACCTCAAAAAGTTTATGTTAATAGACATAAATTCCAATTTATCTTAGCCAATGTCAGTGATGAAATTCCTAATACATGTAGAACTTGCCAGTCAGTCAGTTAGTATATATGCCACATAAGATTGTTGTGATCTCTATAATAACTATACATTTAAGTCCCAGTCAGCCCTGTTAAGATACTTACGTGAACAGATTTTTCTTTTCAGCTCCGTTTTCAAATTTTCCAAACCAACAAACGTCGTTCTATAAACTAACCGTCCATCATCGCCGCTGATTTCTCGAAGTTCATCTTCATCATAGTCATCACCGACCCCGACAGCAAATATTGTCACGTTTTTGTCACGCAATTCCTTTGCTGGAGTTCTAATCAGATCATAAGAAGACCCACTAGTTATTAACACCAGGTAATTTGAAACGTCTCTCCGAAGTTTAGGCTCTGAGAACATCTTATGTCGCATGTAGTTCAATGCTTTCCCAATGTGTCTTCCCTGATTCGGGTAACGGACGCCATTCACTGCTCTTCCAGCTTCCGATGAGTTATGGTACTCTCCAAAATTGAACACTTGGTAAACATCAGTAGAGAAGACTGCTAAGCCAACGTGAGCTCTTTCCTCGGACACATCAAGATAATCGATGAAACCTTTTACAAATTCAAGTGTCTTATTAAAGTTTCCACTACCAGAGAGTTCCACGCTGGCGGATCCATCAATCAGAAAACCGACGTTAACAAATTGGCCTTCACACCCTACAAAAATTTGAACATCTTACATTTGAGTTACAGTGTTAAGACAAAATATCATGTATTAAACTCAACGACATAGCGAGATACATGATTTTATGGCAGGAATTAGTTCGTACATCTTTATTAGAACGTACATGGGTGATTCGAATGTCTTCCAAAACTAAGTCAGTCAGTCAGTCAGTCAGTCAGTAAGAGAGATAGGCATATTTGCAGAGAACTCCAGACGGACAAGCAGAAAACGATGGATTTACTACTTAGCAACTTCCTACTTAGCACCTACTAAAACTGCACTCAATACTTACGAGTCTGACAATGTTCCCCAGTAAATTTGACTGGACATTTACAGTAATAGCTTCCTGGGGTGTTCATACATTGTCCGCCATTGAAACAAGGATTCTTTGTGCATTCATCCAAGTCTGGAAAAAAAACTTTCATATTTATCGCATGACCGGTATTGGTACGGGCTTACATTGCAAATCATTGGTTGTAAAACAATTCCCTTATGCTGGCCGTACGCGACCGGCACGGGTGGGGTCGGGAGGAGCCATACTATCCCGCGAGATACGAGGTTCAAAAATGAAGGAGGGAAAGAAGAGCAGTGGTTATTTGGTACAATTTTTATCAACTGAGTTAGCTCGAACCAGACAGGAAAATATTTATTTCACTTTAAGTAGGCTTCTCCACTTACCCTTCTCACAGTTAGTGCCATTCCATCCAAGAACACATTGGCAATGAGGAGTGCCGTCATCTCCGATTGTACAGTTTCCATTATTATAGCAAGGAAGTTGAGAAAGAATACAAGGTGATCCAGCTAAATATCACAAATAGACAACATTAATTCTCAACAATGAATTTTTTTACTATCTGCAAGAAAATCTATCAATTGAAACTTAAAAAAAAAACAACGACAACAACAACATAAAGAACGAAACCGAAAAAAAAAAAACAACAACAGCACGCAAACTGTTTTTCATAGCACATCGTTGCTTGGTTAGGGTCAAAAATTGCCACTTACCAACTTCACACTGTTTCCCAGCCCAGCCAGACTTGCAAATACAAGTGTAGTTTCCTGAAGGATGATTGACACAACTTCCACCATTGAAACAAGGATTGATTGAACAAGGATCCACATCTGCCAATAAAACAATGCTGAGATTAAGGAGGAGATAATCAGCTGGCATCATCGATCAATTCTATTTTAAGTAACCTGGTAATGATAACTATGTGCAAAAAAAATATTTCTGACCCCTTTTTCTCTTTTCATCTTCGGTTGCTTCAAGAAGACCACAACTGGTAGGGAATTAATTCTCTACCCTTTACCGTATCTATTTATAAGATCTCTGTATGAAACAGATTTCTTTACCTTTAACAATCGCATCTTTCAGGGAAGCCATTACGGGACCAAGTCCCTCATAATCATTCGTAGTAAACACATGTTCTGAGTTGGGTTCTGAAGCCATCTCGTTCAACTGACCACTTTTGTACCGACCAATACCAACACTAAATATTGTAACGTTGTTTTCTTTTAGAGTGAATGAAGGGACAGCAATGTCATCGGCTGAACTTCCGTCTACTATGACAACAACGATGTCTCGAGATTTTCTGCCAGTAACTCCATTTGACTGATTAAATAACTCCCTGCTCGTTAGTTCCAAAGCTTTTCCAATATATCTTCCTTTACCAGTTGTGTTCAAATTGTCCAATTCAGCTTCAAGCTCTGAATGCGTGGTGTTGTCCAATCGGTTCTTCAAGTATGGGGTGTCAGAGTACCCAATAATCCCTATGCGTGATTCGTCCCCATCATCCTTAAGGGTTTTTACGATGCCTTTGACGAACCCCACTAGCTTTTTAAAGTTCCCCTTCTGATAGCTGTCGACGTCACCTCCAGTGTACACAAGGAATCCGATATTGAAAGTACCTGAATATTCTATGACGAAAAGAAAAAGATATAGTGGATATAATCGGTGCGAGGTTGGATGACATGGTTGACTCATAACAGGTTTGAAAAGTGATTAAAACATACAGGAACAAGATTGACTAGCATAGTTAAAGCTATCAGTACCTCGGTTGCAAGAGTTTTCTTTGTCGAAAAATCCTGGTCTGCAGTTACAAAATGAAGTTCCTGGGAAATTGATGCATATTTTTCTATCTCCACAGCCCATATCTGCGCACTCGTTAATATCTGGGTAATAATTCAGACATAAATCACATTTAGGGTTACAACACAGTGGAATTTCATCATTGTGTTTTTTAGTAGATCGTTCTGTACTACACCAATCACAATAGAAAAACGAAGTTGGCGTACAGAGAAATACAAGTATTAAAGAGGAAGGAATAAATCAAAAGAAAACGAAGATGCTTGGTGTATGAGAAGATTCAAGCGCATTACACATAAAAGAATTTGAATAAATTGATGCTATGCACAAATATAGACCCTTTAAAGGAAGTGTAAAGAACCGATAGACAAGATTTGCACATTTTGCACTTGTGCACCTACCCATTTCACACTTGTGCACCTACCCATTTCACAATTGACTCCCGTATAACCAGATGGACAAGCGCACTCGTAACTGTCCATTAGACTTTCACATGTTCCACCGTTGTTGCAGGGATTGCTGTAGCAGTGATCCACAGCTTCACCGGAAGAAAAAAAAAATTTTTTTTTGAGGGGACAAGAGAATGGATAAAAAAGGCCAGTTAAAAAAAAAAGCATCAATATTTATGCGATGACGCTCCCTATGTTGTGGAAAAGCAGCAGATCTTACCGTTACAAAGCGTCTCCTTTATCCTGTCAGCTGTAGATGGAAGCTGATCATAGGACGGAGCCTCAAACACATTGGACGGTGTAGATGCTATCAGTTGAAGCTCTTCTGCTGCGTAGAATTCGCCGACACCCACAGCCAGAGTCACAACCTTCATTGCTCTGAGATGAGCTGATGGCAAAGAAACGTCATCATTGGACACTCCATCTGTGAGAGTCACAAGGCAGTTGTGTCTTCCAGATTGGGCCTGCGCAAAGAGATCATTCTGAACAGCCATGAGGGCTGAGCCCGTGTAAGTACCATTTGCTGGATAGTCCATGGAGTCGATCATTTGGTTGATGTCTGGTTTAGCGTAATGCGTTTGGAAGGTAAACTTAGTTATGGTGATTGACGAATAGACCACTAAACCGACATTAGTGTCTTCTTTATCAACCTTGTAGAAGTCGATCACAGATTTCACCAACTGTTTGTATTGAAAAGCAGCGGATGAGTTGAGAGTTTTCATGCTGGCTGAGCCGTCAACTAAGAAAGCCAAGTTGAATTTCTGGTGTTTGCAAACTGCAATGAGAAAATATGAAGAACACTTCCTATCATTTCTTCACTTATCAATTTATCAGACGCGCACTCGTGGAACGTTGTGTGGCATCGCAAATATCGGCTGAGAAGGAGACTAAAACTTACCTGACTGACAGTTGGTTCCCAAATATCCTGATGGACATGCGCATTGATAACTCCCCGGCAGGTTGTTACAGTGACCATTGTTCTGGCAAGGATCCGAGTCACACTCGTTTATATCTGACAAATAAAATAAGCATAAAGAAGTCATTTCCATTTCAGTATCACGCCCTCCAGAAAGATAGACATGCCTGTGTGTAAAATCTTGCATCTTAAAATTATTAAGTCCTCCCTTTCCCCTTTTCTGCCTGAATGTTTGATTCTTTCAATGTACCACATACCGTCTTCACAGTTGTCTGATGTAAAACCAGCCACACAGTTACAGGTGTACGAGTATCCAGATCGAATGCAATGTCCTCCGTTCTGGCAAGGATTCGGAAAACATGGGGATATTTCTGGGAAAAAGTAAAAAGAAAAAAAAAATATTCTCAAAATACAAATATTTAAATGTTCAAGTGACACGTGCAGTCTCTTCTAAGAACTTGTTCAAGTAGAAGTAGAAATTATTGAAGGCTTGCCAGTAAGACACTTTTAATGCAATCACATAAGTCATTATATAATGGGTCATAATGTGTCAGATTTGAAAGCTCACCTTGGTCACATCTGCTTCCTGAGTATCCCTGTGGACAATTGCATCTGTATCCATCTTCATTTGGAACACATGTACCGTTGTTGCGACACGGTGATGACGAACAAGGATTTAATGCTGCAATATGGAAGTGTTTTTTTAATCTTACAAAAGTATGCCACGCACAAATGTATTCATTATTTAGCAATGGTTGTTCACATTTTTGGCTTGTTGAATAATGTATGAACACAGGCAAAGCATTTTGGTTGAAGAAAACATCGCTCGGCTCGACTTGGTATGTCACGTTTTGCCGGTCACTGTTTTCGAGGTGCTCGTTTGCAGTCTCAGTATCCATCATCCTCCTTCATCTTCGCTCTTTTTATGTTTGATCCATCCATTTTGGTATTTTTCTATCCTAATAAACTTATATTGTAATCCTCTTTTTCGCGTAAGAGGTAATTTCGGGCATAAAACAGGTAACGAACCATGATTTCGTGACGTAGCTGTAATAACAACAAACACAACTAATGCGCTTATCCTTGAACAAAGCACAAGGGAAAAAGGATTCGACAGTTTCTTAAGAAGCACACAAGGACTTACCCATGCAGACAGAGTCCTTCATCTCTTCTGTAAACAAAGCCGTGTCTATATCCCAAGACTTAGAATACTTATAGTACATTGACATTGGTTTAGAGGCGATTTCTTTCAGTTGCCCTTTCGCCATCTTGTCTCCATTACCAACTGCAAATATTTTGACGCCGTATTTCTTGATGGCCTGTGAGATTTCGCCTATAGCGTCATCAGATCTTTTGTTTTGTAGAAGGATAATGACTTTGGGGACACCATTGCGACCATACTTAGCAAAAACCTCGTCCTTGACATACTTTAGACCTTTCCCAACGTAACGCTTCTTCTTGTTAAGCAAATAAATCTTGGAAATAACTTTATAAAGGTCTGTATAACTAAAATGATAATTCAGATTGAGAATTATTTGAGAATCGTCGCCATAAAGCACCAAACCAACATGCGCTCCTTGTTCAGAAACGTGGAGTACTTTCGCGACATTTTTGATGAGTCGTATAATTCGCAAAAAATTTTCCATCTTGGCTCCTTCCGTCCCATCCGCAAGAAATACAAGATCCATCGTGGTATTACAAGCTGCAAGGAGGAAAAAATAACAATTACGGCTGACCTATCTAAGAGTAACAACATCAGAAGGTCATTGAATGTTCAACTTCCAAAAATGATGTCTGTAACTTCTTCTCTCAATATCAATACCATTACACGTGCGATGGGGTGAGACAAATTCATCAGCGAGGTAGTTTTTTGGTACGGGAACAAATTTTGTAAACTGATTTTCAAGAAGTACTAAGCAGCAAATAGAGAAAATTCCCAAACAGATCTACGGGTTTAAAACAATTTATTCAGAAACCGAGATATAAGGAGTGAAGTACCATTTTATGATTTTTTCTTTGCTTTTCTGCGTGTTTTTTTTTTCTTTACCTTTGTCGCATTTTTTCCCGTAGAATCCGTCCAGACACACACACTCATGTGATCCAACCTGGCTGATACAAACTTGTCCTTCGCTGCAAGTGTTGTTTACGACACAATTGTCTATTACTGCAATTGAAGAAAGGATCACACTCGTAAACAAGGCATACATTAAAAACTTGAAATATCAATTTAGCAATATAAGTAGTGAGGTTGCTAGATCTTGAGAGTTCAATAAAGAGTAATGATTACCCGTCCGTACCTTCTTCACAGTGAGTTCCCTTCACTCCTTTAGGGCATGCGCACTCGTATCCATGCAAAGAGTTGTGGCATGTTCCGTTATTCATACACGGACTGCTGAAGCAGTGGTCAACGGCTGATATTTAAACAAAAAGAAGCAATCATTTACAATGTCCACAAGAAATGTTCTTTATCGTCACTAAAGCAAAATGCAAGTCACCCTGGGAACAAAATCGAACGGATACTGCAATACTATGAATCATCAGCATGTACATTAAAAAATTCCAATGATCTCTTGTCTTGATTACAATTTTTATTCAACTCTTCTACCCCCCTCGCCCAGCCCTCCCCTCTCACCAGGTTTCGTCCTTTCAATTTCTTGAGACGAACGTAAATAAACTAGATGTAGAGAGGCACTGTGTCTTTTCCACGAGAATAAAAAAACAACACGGTTTTGAAGATGTTTCGTTTCAATCTGCGCCCATCATCTTCATCCTTAATCCTCCTCAGTCCTTTTTAGTTTAATCTCGTCGCTATTTTTTTTTAATATAATCAAACTGATATGTTCCCGTAACACAAAAGGACTCAAAATCTCGGGAATAGGCAGTAATAAACGCAGCTACATAAAACTGCATTACGCAAATCCAGGAACAGTGTACGAGGAGAAAAAGGGTAAAACGATTTCTTTACGGGAAAACTAGGATTCAATAACCATAAAAGGTACTCTTTCCACCAAGCATCCGCAAACACATGCAAGTAACTCAGCCTTACCTTCACAAATCATTTCATGAATTTTCCAACTCATATGTACAAGTTGGTAGTAACTTGTGAAAACAATAGTGTTTAAATGTGGTTGGCTTGCCACGACTTCAACTTGTTTGATATCGTACCAGTCTCCCATAGCAACAACTAGAATTGTTACGTTCATGTTATGGAGTAATTTCGATGCAACTGCGACACCATCGTTTGACGTCCCAGCAGTGAAAACAACAAGAACACGGTGAGCATTTTTTCGGCTGTTGTTGAAGAATTCTTGTCTTGTATAATTCAGCGATTTTCCAATCAGTGACCCAGGAGGAAGTGTAGGTAAGTTCTCCAATGACTGCAATGTTTGGTTTCGAGTGTAATTGTAGTAACTTTCTGTTTTCATAACCGACGAATACAGGACCACTCCAATTCTTGTGTTAGGATCATGAAGATAGCCCAGGATAAACTTAATAATGTTTATTATGTAGACAAAATATCTATTTCCTGTGTTCTGGTTGGAAGATCCATCTATCATAAAGACCATGTCAATCATGGTTTCTTTGAAGACTGTAAAAATAAAATTTATATCCAAATGTGAGATCTTTTGAAGGGCATATAATTAAACTAACATTCATAAACAAAGCAAAACCGGCAGATAAGAATGCGAGAACTCCTTAACATTTGTTCATCTGTTCGTTTTTTCTAATCCCAAATCCTTATCTTCCGTTAGCTATGTTTTTTTCTTGTTTGTTAGTCTCTGTCATCACACAACACCTTCAGAGTTTCTACGCTCCGCAACTGATTACAGTAAAGTCGAAAAAGGTAGAAGTATTTCAAAGCTTCAAGGAACTTAAGGAGTCTGATGTCTTGAAAAAAATTTTGGTTTCGAAAAATTAAAAGTTCGTGGGACATTAAAGTCAGTTCTGCCTAATCATGCTTTGCATGAAATTGATAGAACACCTATACGTATTCACCTTTATCACAATTTTTCCCAGCATATCCTCCTGTACAGTTGCAGTGGTAGTCACCCATTCGTTCTTCACAAGTTCCTCCATTCTGGCAAATTTTGTGCGGTAATGAACATTCTTTGATGTCTAGTAAGACGAAGAAGAAGATAAACAGATTAAAAAGTCAAAGAGCTTTGGCTTAAAAACAGACAGATCAAAATTACGCAACTCCATTTATTTACAGATAACTTTTAGAAAAATAAGACCTCAGTTCATTCGCCTTGGACAAATGTTGTGTCAGTAACTTGCTTACATTTATAAAGTTACCAACCTTCTTCGCAGTTGGGTCCGGTCCAGCCCGGTGAGCATGCGCAGTAATAGGAGTTGAGTGGCAAGACTTCGCACGTACCAGCATTTTTGCAAGGATCAGGATTGCATGGATCATGAACTAAATATAAATTACAACTTTTAAGTACGTACTTAGTTTGAAAGCCAATTTTTTTCAATGCTTTGCACAGCGACAAGTGAGGGTAGGTGGAATATCAGCTAAAATTATCTTAAAAATTAAGGAAACTGACCCCGTTTAAGTACTGCATTCCCTTCCAAATGGAACGAGATAAGTGACATTTATATCAAAGGTAAAAATCCCTATTAAGACATTTTGAGATCAAGGTATTTCGTTTCTCGGGAATGCTTGAATGTTTTGGAGAAAAACCAATTGGCGCCACTTCGCAACGTCCATTTCACTGAGAATCTCGCGCAACAAGGGTTATCAAAAAAGTAAGGCATAGGTTATTGATGTCGCATGCAAGGAAACCTCTCTTCTTTCTAAGCCTCATCTGAAACTATCAGATATAATAAAGATCCTATTGTGCTGACCTTTATCGCATTTCATTCCTGAATATCCTGGATGGCAAATGCATACGTAGCCACTTTCTGAAGATTCACAAGTTCCATTCATACAAGGATTTCCGGAGCATGGGTCAAGTGCTAAGATATAATGATAAAAAATTCTGTTTTGATTATGCAGTTTCAGTTTTAGCCCTCTCCGATCAATTTACGTTTCATTTGTAGTTACGTATCCCATTTCCTTAAAACAATAATCAGTCGTGATTTACTAACGTAAAGACGAAAAGAGGCCTAAGAGCCTACTATTCATAATTGATAAAACAAGATACTTACCTTCAGCCATCCTTTCTTTAAAGTGTGCAACCTCAAATCTAAGCTCTTTACCAGAATCGTAAGTGAGTATGTGGTCGCTGTCTGGATCGGAGGAGATCTCCTTAACTTGACCCAGGCTGTATTCACTCCCAACAGCAATTGTAAACACTGTCACATTGTAGTTCTTCAGTAAAAGATACGAGGGAACTGCGATTTCATCATGGCTCTTGCTAGCTGTCAATATCACTAGTACTTTTTGAACTTTTGGGCGTGAGATGCTCGCGTTATGGAGAATAGAAGTAACGTATAACATCGCGTCTCCTAAATTACTTTGGACACTTGCAGGATACATAGTTTTATCAACAGCTTTTTCAAGAGATGACTGGTTGAAATGATCATTTAAATTCGCCACAAGAATGGAATTGTCACCATAAACGGTTACACTGGCATGTGTTTCGTCCTCAGATACATTTAGGGAAGCAGTTACGGCATTGGTGAAGGAGGTAAATGTGAGGAAGGTCTCTTTTGTTACTGACTGACTTCCATCAATCAAGAAGGCAATGTCCAATTTGGTATCAAAGGCTAAAATAAGATTTAAAAAGATGCAAAGCAAGAATATTAACATGATCAGGACTACGTAGGGGGGGGGGGGGGGGGAAATATGGTCAATGGATATCACAGAATATTCCTAGCTTATTATCTATCATACTCCCACTTCCAAAAAACGCTTTATACATCAGTAGGCGCTTTTTTCCAAAGACTGCTGTAGTTATTGATGATCTCACTACTGTTGTTTCCTTAAATTTATTGTTGCACAGTTTTGTTGCTGCTGCTGCTGCTACCCGCGTTGATAATATAGATTCTGGTCCCTTTCAGTGTTTAGTTTTTGTTTTTTTTTGGTCTTTTTTTTATTTTCGTTTTGTTTGTTTGCTTGTTTCTTTTACTTCTTTTTAATCGTTTTTAATTTGGTTGTCTCTTTTTGGCTAAAAGAAATTCAAGTAATTACCGGAAAAATCAGTTTCTCCCTAAGGATAACAATAATCGTCTAAGTAAAAAGACAAATTTTGGAGAAAAACTCAAAAAAGGTTGGCCAGACGTGAGACAAGTCAAGAGAGAGGTATTATCTCACTTGTCTCTACACGAAGAATACTCACCATATTGGCAATTGGCACCATACCGTCCGCCTATGCACACACATTGATAACCTCCCAAAGTATTAATACAGGACGTTCCATGAGTGCAATTTGGAGCGTCTATGAGGCATTCATTTACATCTGGTTGGAATGAAAAAAACCAATTCTTTAGCATTACGATTTCCATTATTTGATTTGAGAACTGATAATTGGCAAACTGTGTTAGTGTTCCCCATCTTTGGGAATCCTTTTCCCGATTTGGAGTATATTGTTCACTTTGTATTTTTCTCTCGCTAGTCTTATATGTTGTGGTTTCACTCTCACTTGAGGTACTTGCAGTTTTGCAAGTGCATTTGTTCTATAGAAGCACAAAAAATTATTTGAAAGAGGCATTGGGATAATTTTTAGATAGGAGGAACTAAATTTGTTTCCCGTCTTAAAGAAAGTAGCGCTTTGTTTTAAAGGACACAACCCGTCAATCACCGCTCTAATTTGATATTTCTTTCCTTCCACTGAAGTGAAATCGATTACCTTCTTCACAAGTTGGTCCCTCAAAGCCCACTGGACAAGAGCAGGTGTAGTTTCGCGCAGTTCTACTGCAGTTCCCTCCAAAACGACAGGGAAAGCTAGCGCAAGGATCAACAACTGTAAAGACAAAACCATGCCATGTTACTCTTACTTAGAGTATCAAATGATAGAAGAGATATGGGGAACAAAATCAAGCTGACGTGATAATTGATGGCGTCGGAGTTCTTGTTACAACTGTCACTTTTGGCCGCGAAATCTACAGTAATATACGCAATTGATTCCTTTATTACCTTGACTTACAGCACCGCTGACACCACCTTCCAGAACATCCATGTGTGCATCGCGTATTGTAATAACGTTATCGTCTTTTGGTTCGCTCGCAACCACGTCTAATTGTTTGATATCGTAACCGTCTCCAATTCCAACGACAACGATTTTTATTCCTTTATCACGAAGGTCTTTGGAAACTTCTGTAAAATCACCAATTAGTAAGTGACCGACGAAAACAACAAGGACGTCAGGTACGTTTTCTCTGCCAGTTTCAAATATCTGCCTCCTAGCAAGGCGCAGAGCATTTTCAATGGAAGCGGTTGTCTCGTTTATGAATGGTAAATTCTCAATGGCAGCTGTTACGGTGGAATCATCGTAGTGCTCAGTGAAGTTAAATCCAATAACTGCAGTCGTCGCATAGACTGCTGCAGCCACATTGGTTTGATGTTGGGAAATGTTATAGTCAGACAAAATTGTGTTTGCAAACTGCAGTGTTTTTCGGAAAAGATGATATCCAAGGTGAGCTGACCCATCAAAAAGGAACATTAGATCAAATATGTCCGTAGCCAGTCCTGAGAAAGAAGATTGAAATAAGAATGTAAGCAAACCTGAAATGTATATAGCTTCACAGGTGGAAACTTGCATGACCTAAATATTTCCATAGTATATGGATGGTGATGGAGGAGGATGCAGACCCTATATAAATCGGTTCACATGTGCACAATTGCACATTACAGAGAAAAAAATAGCTATTCCGAGGAAAGAACAATCAAACAAAACAAAACAAAAAAACCAAACAAGAGAAGCAGCCAATAGAAACTCGAGAGGGGGAAAAGCGAGAGATAAAGTGATCTTTGGGTCTGATTAGTTGGTAACTAAGAGTGGCTTTCTAAGGAATAACCATAAACGTAATAAGGCCACATCAACACTCTGTAACATATATAATAAAGAATAACTGTACCGAGGAGGAAAATTATTCTCAACAAGTATACAGATAGAGCATTATTATTTTTCTTAAGTTGTCATAGGTAAAAATATTTCTACTGACACACAAAAAAAAAACCCACCTATTTGACAATGGATCCCAGTAAAGTTTGGTGCACAGATACACTCGTAACTGCCAAAGGTATTTCTACAACCGTATGCTCCATTCAAGCAGGGGTTGTTGAAACACTCGTCAATATCTGTAAACGTCAAGTAATGGTAAACAAAAGTCATTAGGTGAGATGAAATAAAATTCTGTGGGTAATGAGGTTAGTAGTTTCAAAACCAGTTTATCGCGCGTGCAGGAGAAGGTTAATTCGAAATTACATACATGATGCCTCTGCATCGTAGGACTTCTATTTACCATATGATACTTTCGATAACGAATTTAAAGTAACTGTTCACCATTCAAAAGACAAATTAAACTCAAAATGTTACCATGTAGGAGGGAAAGAGCAGGAAAGAACCCATTGGCGCGCATGGGACTGACGCTTTAATGAAGTAGATGATGACCTGCGGGTATCTTATTTGAAGATTTATCATTGCGTGAATGGTTCCCTACGTGATCATGCACAGATTAATAGAGCAGAGACATACGAAAAGTCATAAGGAGAGTTAGCAAAGGTACAGCAATACACAATCTACTGCAAAATAAAACAAGAAAAAGTTGTCCCTAAAAAAAATTCGTTCAGGTAAAAGGGGGCAGTTGTTCCCATCATGCCTTACCTTCCTCACAATTTTTCCCCCTCAAACCAAGAGTGCAGTCGCAGTTGTAATCGCCATCAAACGAGGTACACACCCCTCCATTTTTACAGGGCAGAGAAACGCACAAATCTTCCACTAGGCAAAGAAACGAAATTGTCAATTCAAAAATGGAATTTAATCTAATCAAGTATGGTATTGTAAATGTAAAAATGTAAATTTAAGTTTGCTTACCTTCACAATTTCTTCCACTGAATCCTGCAAGACAAGTGCAATTATAGCCATTTTCAGAGTTGAGGCATGTCCCACTGTTCAAGCATTGATTGTTGAAACAGGAATCCACCACTGAAACATAGTGACAATCAGTAATTATGTATGCAATTGTGCAAAATGGTTCGGAGTTAGCTAAGAAAATAACGGCTAGAAATTTATTCGTAGCAAACAAACCTTCACAGCTCGTTCCGGAATAACCGGAAGCACAAGTACAATTGCGCCCTTCATCTAGATTTTGACACGTTCCATTGTTTTGGCAAGGACTGTTGTAACAATAGTTCTGAGCTAAAATTAAAAAACAAATCGAATGTCACAGTATTAAAGCTTGAAGACTCAAACTACCAGTAATACATGAAAGTGACCTTTGGTCAAATTTTTGTTATCTGATTGGCCAAGAGTTTCGCACGTCTTTGACCAATCACATAGCTAAGAAAAGCACACCAATGCAACAATCAATCAAAGATTGTGCTCCTACGGAAAACTGTAAAATAATTCTATTTAATACTGAGTGTGAAGAACTACACACCTTCGCAGTTTTGTCCTGTAAAGTTGGCAGGACAATAGCAAATGTAATCTTCAAAATCATTAATACAGGTTCCATTATTGTGGCAAGGGTTTTCATGGCAGTAATCAATCTCTGAAAAAAAGGCAAAAAACCCTACCTTCAGTATTCCATTAATAAGGATTCCCCCGGCCTAAAAACTGTTTCTTGACGTCATACAACTCTAAAAGGTGACGTGCTTAGGAAATATCGGGTCCCTGTAAGCACCCCCTCTACAACTATTACAGTATAACGCTAACCTTCGCAGTTTACCCCTGTCAATCCTAAAGGACATTCGCACTTGTAATCGTTTGGAAGATTGTGACATGTTCCATTATGTCGGCAAGGGTGGCTATGACAATAATCTCGCTCTGTAAATCAAATGAAAGGCAAGGTAAGAATACTCTGTGTCTCATTGTGTTGTGTACTTCGTTGTACTGCGTATTTTTTAACAGCCGGCAATTCCGAGATACCAAAGCCTATGCTCTGTAATAAGGGCAACTGTGAGGACTTCACGTGGCATTTTCTTAACTCCAATACTCCAAAATATACCAAGCACAGGAGAGAAAAGTGTGCATTTGGCTCAGTTAAGTTTTGTTGAGGTCTCTTTTTGTTCAACAAACCTGCGCAGCTCTTTCCAGTGTAACTTGGGGGACACGAACAAGTGTAGTTTTCAGGATTGCTTTGACATGTTCCATTGTTTAGACACGGGTTGCCGAAACAGTGATCTTTAACTGAAAATTGATAAATATATTAATGTACACGTAAGAACTTTGAGGTTGTAGAGATATATCAAATTGATGAGAGAATTCAGCTAAAGCTGATAAGGTTCTGTCACAAGGCGTACCGTTTTTTCAGGAATAGCCTTTCCTGTCTTTGAAGACGAAAGGTTTGAATAAAGCCACACTTTATTATGGCCTTTCTGGACATGGTCTTTGACATTACACAAACTAGTTACTTTTCCTATACAATTACAATTTTCAAGAGAAAAATGTTCGTGTTTATTGAAACAATCTGTAAACCGGAGAGAGAATAATCCATACGAGATGATATTGAGCTTTTCGGGAACAGAAAATTTTTACGTCATACTTAATTACTTTCACATTTTCCCTTCGCTGAATCCCAGAAGGCAACTACACTGAAAGCTGTCTGCGGTGATGATACAGGATCCGTTGTTCGCGCATAGACTTCCATAACAGTAATCTATTTCTCCGGTAAAATATCAAATCATTTTTTCATTGACGTTCAAACCCGTTTTGATAATCGTGACCATCCTCATTCGAACAGAATTCCCTCAGCTTAACATCGGACGGGTTGCGGCATTAACAAATTGCCTGAAGTGCAGGAAAGCGCGAGTGATCAAGTCGCAACTGGTTTTAGTTTTGTATCCGATTCATTGGGCGGGTGTTACATAGTTTCTGGATCAATCATAGGGGGAAAGAAAGCAAATAAATGAAGATTGCTCGAGGAACTAGCAAAGAAACCAACCTTCGCAGATCTGTCCATTGTATCCCTCTGGACACTCACAAGTGTAGTTATCGAATAGTCTAACACATGTCCCATTATTTAGACAAGGACTGTAAGAACATCGATGTAATTC